ATATACAGCCTTGACACACTCCTTTTCCTATTTGGAACCAGTCTGTTGTCCCATGTCCAGTTCTAATTGTTGCTTCCTGACCTGTATACAGGTTTCTCAAGAGGCAGGTCAGGTGGTCTGGTATGCCCATCTCTTTCAGAATTTTCCACAGTTTATTGTGATCCACACAGTCAAAGGTTTTGGCATAGTCAATAAAGCAGAAACAGATGTTTTTCTGGAACTCTCTTGCTTTTTCCATGATCCAGCAGATGTTGGCAATTTGATCTCTGGTTCCTCTGCCTTTTCTAAAACCAGCTTGAACATCTGGAAGTTCACAGTTCACATATTGCTGAAGCCTGACTTGGAGAATTTTGAGCATTATTTTACTAACCTGTGAGATGAGTGCAATTGTGTGGTAGCTTGAGCATTCTTTGTGATTGCCTTTCTTTGGGATTGGAATGAAAACTGACACTTTCCAGTCCTGTGGCTACTGCTGAGTTTCCCAAATTTGCTGACATATTGTGTGCAGCACTTTGATGGCATCGTCTTTTAGGATTTGAAATAGCTCAACTGGAATTCCACCACCTCCACTAGCTTTGTTTGTAGTGATGCCTCCTAAGGCCCACCTGACTTCACATTCCAGGATGTCTGGCTCTAGGTGAGTGGGAGTGATCACACCTTCGTGATTATCTGGGTCATGAAGATCTTTTTAGTACAGTTCTTCTGTGTATTCTTGCCACCTCTTCTTAACATCTTCTGCTTCTGTTAGGTCCATACCATTTCTGTCCTTTATCGAGACCATTTTGCATGAAATGTTTCCTTGGTGTCTCTAATTTTCTTGAAGAGATCTCTTGTCTCTCACATTCTATTGTTTTCCTCTATTTCTTTGCACTGATCTCTGAGGAAGGCTTGCTTATCTCTCCTGGCTATTCTGCATTCAAGTGGGAATATCTTTCCTTTTCTCCTTTGCTTTTCGCTTCTCTTCTTTTCACAGATATTTGTAAGGCCTCCTCAGACAGCCATTTTGCTTTTTTTCATTTCTTTTTCTTGGGGATGGTCTTGATCCCTGTCTCCTGTACAATGTCACGAACCTCCATCCATAGTTCATCAGGCACTCTGTCTATCATACCTAGTCCCTTAAATCTATTTCTCACTTCCACTGTATAGTCATAAAGGATTTGATTTAGGTCATACCTGAAAGATCTAGTGGTTTTCCCCACTTTCTTCAGTTTAAGTCTGATCAAAAATCATTACTTAATATATTTTGTTTCTGTATCATCTCAAAAATTATATTCACATAGCACCTCAGCACACTGATCCACAATATTTCACTAAAACACCTACATATTAAGATCATTCAAGTTTGAAACTCAGGGAAAACTGTCAAGAAAATCTGCATGACTTTGCCTTAACACTTCTCTGAGATTATTTCCCAACACCTTTCACAAGATCTGCAAACAAATATTTCAATATTCTCTACATGTTTTTTAGGTCATGGTCAGTGGTCAAAGTTGCCAAAATATTTTCTAATTTTGGGGAAAAAGAGATAACTTTAACTCTTTCACTAACTTTGGCTTCAGTGTCAAAGTAAAATATTAAGTAAATACTTGATTTATGGTATTGGATTTGAGCAGATTAAACATATTGCCATAGCAACATAAATGTTTGGCTATTACTAATCTCTCTCTTTATCCACCCAAACCCCACAATGGTTGAAGCTGTTAGATTATTTATGCAACCATGAGAAGTATTGTTATCTTTTTCCTTTCCAAATATCTTTTAAGTAAATATTAACCACATTGCTTTGCCAAGTCTTTTGGCCTATAAAATAAGGAATTTGAATTGGATTTCTAATCTCCTTCTAGATAAAGTATTCTTTCTCGGGCCTTATATAATGTACGGGCTACCTTTATGGACAGACAAATACCTTACTCAAACCCTCCTCTGCCCTGCTTTATTTTTATAAAGTAGTGGGGAAAATATAGGCTTCTGAATTGAACAGACCTGGCTAGGATTCTGCCACTGCCACTTTCCAACTTTATGATACCATTAGAGATGGTGTAACTCTACAGCTGCTAAACCTCAACCCTCTGTTTTTACTGATTATTTCATGACTGGGCACTTGATATAGACTGATGTTTGCATTCCCCAAAATTTGTAAGTTTGAACCTAATCCCTAGTAGCTGGTATTTAGAGGTGGGGCCTTTGGGAGTTGATAAGGTCAGGAGGGTAGAGCTCTCATGAGTGAGATTAGTGCTCTTATAAAAGAGGCCCTAGAGATTTCCCTTGCTCCTTAAACCATGTGAGGACACAGTGAAAAGATGGTCATCTAGGAACAGGAAGTAGTCTCTCACCTGACACCAAATCTGCCAACACCTTGACTTTGGACTCTCCAGCCTCCAGAATCATAAAAAATTAACGTTTGCTGTTTCAACCACCCTGTCTATGATATTTTTGTTACATTAATAGCAGCTGAGACAGACTAAAATAATACCTGACCCAATTGCTTAACAGAGAGACTTTAATTAAAAGATAGAAGCCAGGGCCAGGCTATGTTCAAAGAGAGAGGGAGAATCAAAGATGTGAAATAGTCAGTTAGCCCTGGTATTCCATATACAATTCACTTCTTGTCCTTTGCTGCTTATGTGATTGTCTATTATATTTATACCCTAACACTCTTATTAATGGGCTTCCCAAGCAGTGCTAGTGGTAAAGAACCTGCCTGCCAATGCAGGAGATGTAAGAGATGCGGGTTTAATCCCTGGTTTTGGAAGATCCCCTGGAGAAGGGCATGGCAACCCACTCCAGGATTCTGGCCTGGAGAATCCCATGGACAGAGGAGCCTGGTGGGCTATGGTCCATAGATAGGGTCACAAAGAGTCAGGCACTACTAAAGGGACTTAGCATGCATTCATTCATATTAACATCAGCCTGAGTATCTTGATGTTCTTGAAGCCAATATTTCTGATCTAGAAAGGATACTTAGGGACCTATAATTTCTGAGTTTCTCTTATTTAATCTATAAAATGGAATAATAAACAGTATCTTCCTTGCAGGATTGCTCTGAGGATTGCAGGTGAGAATGCATGAAACACTCCCAGTGGAGTTCTAGAAACATAGTAGATGCTCAGCTAATTGTGGCCTTTAGCTTCCTGCAAATTTATATCTCATAAATAAACCAACAACTTATTAAGAATTTACATTATTCCCAATACCCTATCCTTCCATTATCCTATAAACAAATCAATCCAATGAGTCTTTCGAATTGCTTGGGACATATCAGCCCTTTGATTCCACCCAGAATCGCTGAGAAGTGGTCAGACTCCCTTTTCTTGCACTGCTGTCCTTTACGAGTCAAGGTGAGTGAGAGCAGTGTGGTAGCCATCCTGTAGAAGTGGTGTCTAGTCAATGATTATTAGACCACAGTGAGTCAGAAGACCTTTCGACCCTCTCTGCTGGGTGGACAGTGTAGCTGTAGTGTGGCTTTCCATAACTGCATATGTAAAGTTGGCAACAGATGATAGTGTTGTTCCCTTGACAATTCTAGAGAAATATACCCTTTTTGTTAACATATGTTGACAGACTAAGTCTAATTAAGTAGTTGAATGCACTATATCCTCTAATTGTTGGTAAATGACTTGAGATTTATTAAAAATCAAACTCATATTCTCTTTCTCATACTCACTGCACCGAATGAATACCAAAGGAAATTCACAGTGAGTTTTCTTGAATAATTGCCAAAATGATCATTATTTAGTTTCTAACTGAAAGGTCTACAAAGCCTCCTCTGAGTTCTTCAGTCAGGATGCTCTCTCTCTGATATAGAATATCACAGATCGTCTGACTTGGTTTGCTGTGTCTTTTCCCCCCATAGATTATGAGTTTACTTTCATGGATGATCACTGTAGCTAATATTTATTAAAGGCCATCCTATTTGGCAGGGTCCCTTGAGCTTCCCTTGTAGCTAAGTCAGTAAAGAATCTGCCTGCAATGCAAGAGACCTGGGTTTGATTCCTGGGTCAGGAAGATTCCCTGGAGAAGGAAAATGGCAATCCACTCCACTATCCTTGCCTGGAAAATCCCATGGACAGAGGAGCCTGGCGAGCTATGGTCCACGGGGCTGCAAGAGTCAGACATGACTTAGCGACTAAACCACCACCACCAACCACTAAGTGCTTTAAGAAGATTAACTCACTTGTTCATCAAACAACCTTTCCAGGTGACACCACTGTTCATCTTCATTTTATAGATAAGGAAACTAAGGCTAAGGACAGTTAAATAACAAGTCCAAAACATACAGCTAGTAAGGACAGGGTCGGCTCAACTCCAAGGTCATGCTATAACCATGGCCTCATATTGCCTCTTGGCATGGGTAGAGGTCATTTCTTATCCATCATTGTCACCCCACAGTACCACTTGAATATCTGGAACAGGGAGGGTCTCAGTCAGTTCTGATTGATACTGCATGGAGCAGAAAAGCCACTTTTGCTGTCACTGACTGGTGTCTGATTTCTCTGTTGTGATGAGTGGGAGTGTGTTGGAGCAAACACATCCCCCAGGCTTGTAGCTCTCTCTGTCCTATGCCTTTTGTGCTGCTTTCTTACTCTTCCTCCTTGCTAACTGCATTATGTAGATTTGAAGTCGGAGCTCAGTTTACACAAAGGGAAAAGAGAACTCTGAACTTCCTATGTGGGATTGAGAGAGGAAAAATATGTAATCCAGGGGAAAAAAGATACATACAAGAAAATATTTAACTAGTGAAGTCAAGATGTTATTTGAAATGAGTATATTGCAAACAAAGTTAATGTATGAGTGCTGGCTCAGTGCCCTGTTATTGCTGGTTTGACTAGGTCTGAGAATAAGCTGGTGGGCAGGGCTTAAAGATCCCAGATCACATGTGGGGAACAGGGTGCTTTCCAAGCACATAAAAATCCATGCCATCTATCTCTTGGACACAGCTAACAGAGAAGAGTCTGTAAGTCTGTAATTCACATCTCCTGCAAGCAGAAAAAAGACGAAACATGAGCACAGCAGGAAAAGTAAGGCAATTATTATTATTTTTTACTTTTAGAATTATTCTAATTAATGTAATACTCATGTTTGACTGCTCGATGTTTGAAAGCCAATACTCGCGTTGTCTGGAAAGGAACGTTTCCTTTACTCAGGACACCAGCAACCTGTATGTTAGTGACTCGGTTGTGTCTGACTCTTTTCCAACCCCATGGACTATAACTTGCCAGGCTCCTCTGTCCATGGAAATTCCCAGGCAAGAATACTGGAGTGGTGTGCTATTTCTTTCTCCAGGGTATCTTCCCAACCCAGAAATTGAACCCATGTCTCCTGCATCTCCTTCATTTGGTGGGCAGATTCTTTGCCACTGAACCACTTGGGAAGCGACCATGTAATACACAGAGATACACTATTTAATGAATAACAAAATTCATATACAAGTTAGAAATAAATACATAAGTTAGAAATACTGAAGTACAACTTAGGATATATGCTTCAATATAAAAAGTATATTAAACTTCAATTGAGAAGGGCAATACCTAAATATCTTTAACAAGAATGCAGAGCATCTATACCTATCAAAGTCTATATCTCCTATACTAAGTAAATGTGAAATAGTTATATCCAATCATGAGTAATTTTCAAGTCTAAAGTTAGAAATGAAATGTTTTTATCAAGAAGTTATGTCAATGTTAAGATATCATAATATAAATATGTTATTCTTTATAACTTAAGTAATATAATTCTTCATAATATAAATGTTATTCTCTTTAATCATAATCATTCTTTTTATGAATACAGGAAAGTTAAATGTGACAAAACTTTTATTGATCTTAAAGCATTAGAATCATCAAAAGTAAGCAAACCAGCTGAGATGCAGATGTGGAGAAGGGATTTGTGGACACAGCAGGGGAAGGAGAGGCTGGGGTGAATTGCGAGCGTAGCACTGACATATGTACACCACCACGTGTCAAACACACAGCTAGTGGGAAGTTGCTGTAGCACATAGGGAGCTTAGATCCGTGCTCTGTGATGACCTAAAGGGGTGGGATGGGTGGTGGGCAGTAAGAGGGAGATTCAAGAGGGACAGGATGTATGTCTACCTGTAGCTGATTCACAGTGTTGTACAGCAGAAACTAGTACAACATGGTAAAACAATCATACCCCAATCAAAAAGCAAAACGTTTTTAAAGATAAAGCAAACCAGAATCAACATGCAAATTCTGATTTTAAAGGGCCCTACTATGGCACAATTTAGGGAATTCCCATAGAAATGTTAACTTCATGCAAAAGCCAATGTGATTGTCCAAAAAAAGATAATAATAATACGGATACAGTTTGAACTACTATTTACACTGAGAACAGATATATTTAGTTCTAAGCCATCCACAGACTCATGTTTATTTGTTCAATGTGCTTACAGCTACAGAGAAATACACGTGGTTGTTCAATACAATCAATTCATGTTGTTTAACTGCTTAATGGCAAAAGCCTGTGCAATTGTTTCTAGTAGGTTTGCTGTGTTAGGAGTTAATTGTGCAATATAATATCTTGCTATAATGGCAGGCCTATATGGTGTGGCCTATATCAGTCATATATATATAACAGGCCTATATCAATAAGACTGGTTGGAAATCATACAGATGATCGATTGGCAGTCTTCTTATTTTAACTTTATTTTCATGCATTACTGATTGGCATTTACAGTAGCATATTACATTTCAAATGAAGAATAGTTAAGAAAAAGAAAATTTTAATTTTTCAAAACTCAGAGTTCAGAGATCAAAAGCGTAGGCCAAATGCATTAATTAAGCTTATAAATTACAGGCAATCAATCCCCTCTCAGTTACAACATCCATAGCTTTTAGCTATATGATAACACTTCGCTTATGTTTAAACTTCTGGCATTATATTTTCTTCAAATGCTAAATGACAATAGTAATAATACCTACTTTCATAAGGTGGTTGTGAGAATTTAATAAACTGATACTGGAAAGCATTTAAAATAATGCCTGGTACATAGAAATAACTCACTAAATATTAATCACTGCTATTATTGGTGTTATTGTTATCTAACTTCTAATCTCTTGTTAATCTTTTACTATCATCAAGTAGTGAAAGATAAAATGGTATTCATTCTTCAGACACTCAGCTTTGTAACTTTGGGAAAAGTACTCGTCAATTACTCAGTCAGTTGAGCCTCAAGCTTTTCATCTGAAAAATAAGACTAATGATTCAGTAATACTGCCCTGTGAAGTTTAAAAGTTTAACTTGTATCTCACCCAACACAGCCACTTGTGCCTGCTATATCATTGGCACCCCATTATTCAATACGTGTCTACCATTAGTGTATTATATCCAAGTACTCTTATATTTATTGTGGCATTGGCCATGATGAACACTTTGCAAAGTGGGAGGATTTGATGTATATATAGTAAAAATAAATTATCAGATAAATTTCAATTGAATTTTTATCATGTTTGTAGTATGTTGTTAATTCTCTTTAGAAAAAACTCTAAACTACACAAGCTCTGCAAAAGTGAAGACAACCTTTATGCTACATTACCAAGCACTAAACATATATGCTCGACTTTTATTTGTAAGAACATGTGTAAGTAAGCTTTGCTAGCTAGAAAGTCAAACACAGTTCTCCCATTTTTAAGTGTGTGTGTGTGTGTGTGTGTGTGTGTGTGTGTGTGTGTGTGTGTGTGTGTAGTTTAAACCTCTACAATTTTAGGCTCAAATCCAATCTGGAAAAAATCTCTATTCATAAATTACATAACCAAACAGAGCTGCCAAATCTAACTTTCAAATGAGTGATGCAAACAAGTAGCCCATAGAAGAAGTAGAGAGAGAAATCAAATGAGCAGGCAAATAGAGAAAGAAATTCTAGGCTGGGAGGCTTAGGAATTCTAAAGTCAAATCATTTTGGCTCAAGTGGAGAATTGAGCAAGAGGGAAATGAGTTTCATGTAAACAGACACTGAATCTGGTGAAGTGAAGTGAAGTGAAGTGAACTCATTCAGTCATGTCTGACTCTTTGCAACCCCATGGACTGTAGCCTACCAGGATCCTCAGTCCATGGGATTTTCCAGGCAAGAATACTGGAGTGGGTTATCATTTCCTTCCCCAGAGGATCTTCCTGACCCAGGAATTGAACCCTGGTCTCCCGCATTGTAGGCAGATGCTTTACCGTCTGAGCTACCAGGGAAGACCCTGAACCTGGTAGTAATATGATAGTGATTTAGAACTTCATGGACAAGACAGCAGCTTTAGATAAACAACCAATTTCAGAACCACATTAAGAAATAGCACCTTTAGAGGAGAAAATGATGATGATCTTTCTTCGTGAAAGAATATATTCCATTTTTATCTCAATGTCTCCCTATAGTTAATTCTGTTTCTCTTTCCTTGTGTTATTGCCTCACACATTTTTATAAAAAGTCACTATTATTCTTTCTGCAAATCAGAGGTTGTTCATGTTCACGGAACAATATTAAGTTTCAGACATGGGGCTAGATGGTGCACATAAAAAGATCGAAGTCACAATCCCTGAATTCAAGGCTGGGGGAAAAATGGTGTCATCTTTCTGCTCAATTTTCAGGTAATAAAATGCAAAGCAGCTGTGCTGTGGGAGCTCAATAAACCATTTTCCATTGAGGAGGTGGAGGTTGCACCCCCTAAGGCCCATGAAGTTCGTATTAAGGTAAAATTTTTTTCCATTTCTATTTAATCTTAGGTTTAAATTTTTCAGAATATAACAATGAAAGTAACCAAAGCACTTGTAATATAGTCATCCAGATAGTGGAATTACATTTGTTGTCAAGGGAAGCTGTAAATCAAAATTGTTAAATTTTTTAAAAAGAGACCAAAGTGTATGTACAGTATAATCCTAATGAAATGAAAAGAATTTATGTGGTGGCTCAGCAGTAAAGAATCTGCCTGCCAACACAGGAAATGTGGGTTTGATCCTTGCATTGGGAATATCTCCTGGAGAAGAAAATGGCAACCCACTCCAGTGTTCTTGCCTGGGGAATCCCATGTACAGAGTAGCATGGTAGACTACAGTCCATGAAACCTCCAAGAGTCAGATATTACTTAGCAACTAAACAACAACAACAAAAAAAAAGTGCAAAGGAATATAAATCATTTAAAATCAATTAGCATTATGTGGTGGCACTTGAGTAACTTTATTTTCTTATCTGCATTTTCTATTTCTATCAAAAAGACTGCATATTATATGACCTCAATAGTTCATAAACAATTATTTCACAGACTACTCCAAATTATTTAATGTATGAAAGGAAAGTAGAGCATTATTAGGCTGAATAAGTTCAGGTATAAATTGAAACTGTATTTGGAAGATTAGGAATTATTAGCAAAATGCTTTACAATTCTTCAGTGCAATTTCAGGAAAATGAGTATATTAAGTCCATCTGAGGGTCATAATCTTATCTGAACCTAATCAACTCCCCCTTTACCCCATAGATGGTGGCCACAGGAATCTGTCGCTCAGATGACCATGTGGTTAATGGATCTCTGGTCACACGTCTTCCTGCGGTCTTAGGCCATGAGGCAGCCGGCATTGTGGAGAGTGTTGGAGAAGGGGTGACTACAGTAAAACCAGGTAGAGAATTCACACTTAGGAAATGTGCCTTGGTTCAGGGCCCCAAGTTGATGTAGCCTGGATAATGCCACTGGAGTGATGAGAGATGAAAGAATGTGTTTAAGGCTGAGCAGGGACAGAGGTCTCTTTCTTTTCCCCCTTCCTGCCTGACTCAGGCATGTATGCATACATGCACTATTGTATGCTCTCCTTCAGCAAGTATTGCTTGAGGACCTACTAGATGTCAGGCACCATGTTAGATCCTGGGAATACATGGGGATTGAAAGAGACCCAGTGTCTGCCAGGGTAGAGTTCATAATGAGTTAATTCCCATGTTAGTGTTGCCCAGCACTGTTTTCTACCAGGTCCAAAGAAAACTACTGATGAGACAGAAAAAACATGGCTAGACATAGTGGAGATAAACATAATCAGTGTATTGAACCTGTTCAATGCTGACTTCACACAGTGGGGATAGTGAGCTCTAGATTGAATCAACATAATCTCTTCTCAGGTGGGAAGTGGAGCTCATTCACAGGTTTCCCCTTTGAATATATGACCATTTTTCCTTAAACCATGATTAAACGTGACTGGTTAACAAGTACTATTTTTCTTGAATAATTACTGTATCCTATTATATATTAATACAGACAAATATTTTTAGAGGTAAACAGTGAATAAACAGAAAATTTCTGTGCCATCATTGCATAACCTCTTAAATGTTATTTTTCTGAATCTTTTAGATAAGTAGTATAGATGATTAAAAATAAAAATTATGTTTAATTCTAAAAAATCACTTTAGCTGGTAGATTTGACCTCCCTACTTACAAAACACTTAATTGACCTGTAAACCAAAAACAATAAAATAAATTGTCTGGTTTGAGTTTCAGCTCTTAGTATTTCCTATAGTTAGAAATCTATTAATAACAAATGACACCCCTACTTTTCACCCCAGCTCCCTCCACAAGTAAAAATAAATTATCTATAAATCATCAGCTACAAATATTTGAAAGTCAGTTCCTATCCTAAAAGAAAGTATCTAACTCATTATTGAGGGTTGAGGTTTTCAGAAGAATGTCTTAAATTCTTACTTGTCCTATTTTTGTTTGTTTTCCTTAAAAAAGAATTAATTTTTTAAAAGAAGGATTCATTTCATAATAGAGATAAGCATAATCATTTTGAAAAGCCAGGAAATGGGTGTTGAGGTTCTTATTTTTACTGTATTATTACTATTACTATACTATTACTATAAACTATTACCAGATTATCTAGCGGAACTATGGCAGACTGCTCACAACTTGAATATATATTTGTACTTATATTAGTAGTAAGAATATTTAAGGTTTAATTACTAAGTATTAAATGAGATCATCTATATATAATCCCTACAAGAAAGGGCACACAATGAAAGAGAACTATCAACACAGTGCAACTACTTTGAAAAATCATGTTTTCCACATTTACATTTTCTTTGGGCATCTTCAGCATATATAAACCCAAACTGATAACAATACTGACAAGCAATGACCAAGACATATTGCTGACAGGACCCCATTCTTGGAGACTTCTCGAGGTCAAGTGCCTCTAATACATATGGGTAAGCTTTAAGTTCTTACTTAAGTTCTTTAATTCCTGTGTAGAAATTTAAGAAGAATCTGTTCTATCCTCACCCCCAGGTGATAAAGTCATCCCACTCTTTGTTCCCCAGTGTGGAAAGTGCAATGTTTGTAAACACCCGGAAGCCAACTTCTGCCTGAAACAAAAGTGAGTATCTGTTACTCTCCTTAGCAGTGAAGGAGTCTGCATGTTAGTTGTGCTCCTGTCTTATATCCTCTTGTGTTTGTGTGTTGCATTAACCAGCCTGAACAGGTCTCAGGGGACCCTTGACGATGGTACCTGCAGGTTCACCTGCAGGGGGAAGCCCATCCACCACTTCCTCGGCACCAGCACCTTCAGCCAGTACACAGTGGTGGATGAGATGTCAGTGGTCAAGATCCATGCAGACTCACCGCTGGAGAAAGTCTGCCTCATTGGCTGTGGATTTTCTACTGGTTATGGGTCTGCGGTCAAAGTTGCCAAGGTAGGGATAACAATGAGCGATAAAACCGGCTACACTCAGACTGTCAGGAGCTAAAAGCAAAGCAACTTCTCACAGGAATCTGAGATCATTCTTCACAAATTTATTGGAAGCTTTCCCCTCTTCTACCATAATAGCATTTCTATGCTCCACAGAATTGAGGATGTTGATTAAAAGTAGAAAATACCCTCAGAAGGAATTGAGGGCATGTCCTAGAAAATTTATCCATTATCACAAATGAAAAGCTATTGATAACTAGTTAAGAAAAAGTAGAAGTGTTTTCCATAATTATTCTTCTGTATGTGTTCTTTATGGTATTACTAAATTTTAGACTTAGGAGTTCATTTTATCATTCATTTAGTGCCTACATGAGCCATGCACAGTAGGTTCTGCTAAGTTTTAAGGAAGCAAAAGTAAACAAAATGAAGGGGCTCACTATGAGGAGCATTTAGTTTGTGGATCCTCTACTCCCAGAATTAGGATCAACAGGAGATTCCAGAGTCTGACCTGATATCCTGATAAACCTCCAAACTGAGGGTCACCAACATACCCACTCTGTGTATCTCTATGATGGAAGCAATAAAGCTTTGATGATGCATGAAGCATTTATTCCACTGCTATACCTCCTCCCCAGCCATGAACACATACACACACACAAACTTCAGAAGTGGTAGGTTTTAAGGAGAAATTCTTTAAAGTCTCCTCTTCCTAAAAGGTTGGAAATCTAGTAGTATCCTTTTGTTTTATGAACTGATACCCAGAGACATAAAGCCATTTGCCCCAAATCTTACATAGTTAATATGACATATTAACTGTGACTAGCCTCTTCAAAACTCCTGATGAATCATAAACCATAGTAGACATTTACCAACACATTTAAATCACAATCACAAGCCTCATATTTTTCTAAGGTAAAAAAGTGGTGTCGTACCCCCACAGAATGTTTACTTGGGACAGGAGGAACATTTTACCCACAGTGAAGTCTGACTATAACAGACTAGGTTTATTAAACAGTCCCTTAGGTAAGTTAAACTATTGTGAGCACGTGTTTTCCAAATTTCTGTGACCTTAGCACTAAGTCTCTTGTGCAACTGCATCATCTGAACAGATCATCTAATTGAACCTGCACACAGAGCAGAAGCCAAGGGTACTTGTGATAATAAATTTCATCCATTATTAAAATATAGACCAGCTTTTCATTGCATTATTTTTCATTTGTGTATTTTTTAAAGTAGGGATAAAGACCCATTAAGAACACATTCGTCTCAAGCTGTATTATCTTGAAATTACTTGTTAAATTTCCCATGTTGTTAAGTTTGCTTAAGCTGGGGATAACTCTTCTATGCTTCACAGCTTATTTCTGCCCTCATTTTATGTCATGACTACTGAAAGTTATTGAACCAAGGTGTTAATTATTGAGGGCTCAATTGGATTATTTTCTCCTCTCTTCCATTCATTATTTAATTTCCCTAGAATTGTGTTTGTGTATGTGTAATGGACTGAAGCTGGCTATCAATGGATTTGAGCCGCTAGATTTTCTTCAAGAGGGGAGTCACTAGCATCTAGAGCTCAATGGTCATCCAGTCCACTGGCTCCCAGCTTGGGTTTCCCACTGGAGTTACTTGGAGACTTGGTCTTACCTGCAGAGCTGTTGTCGTTGTTTAGTCACTAAGTCGTGTCCTACCCTCTGTGACCCTATGGACTGAAGCTTACCAGGCTGCTCTGTCCATGGGAATTCCCAGGCAAGAATACTGGAGTGGGTTGCATATCTTTTTCCACTTACCAGCAGAGTCTGATTTAATTGCTTATGAACTGTGACCTGGGCATTGAGATTTTTTTAAAGTTCCCTAGGTGAGTCTAATGTCCAGGACAATTAGAGAAACACTAATCTATTTCAAACCCTTCATTTCAAGTGTGAGGCAGCTAAAGTCAAAAGAAGTTTTGACAGAAGGTTGGACATAATTTGAGTAACTTCTGATAAGAAACAAAGCATGATACTTTATACAATTTAGGCTCTTTCTAACAATTGTTGTTGTTGTTTGTTGTTGTTCAGTTGCTAAGTCATGTTCGACTCATTGTTAGCCCATGGACTCTAGCCCACCAGGCTCCTCTGTCCATGGGATTTCCCAGGCAAGAATACTGGAGTGGGCTGCCATTTCCTTCTCCAGGAGATCTTCCTGACCCAGGGATCGTGCCCACATCTCCTGTATTGTCAGGCAGATTCTTTACCTATGGGGCACCTGGGAAGCCCTTAACAATCATTACTTAATCCATTTTCACATTTTCTGAAAACACAGGTCAGCCAGGGCTCCACCTGTGCCGTGTTTGGCCTTGGAGGAGTTGGCCTGTCTGTTATCATGGGCTGCAAAGCAGCCGGAGCAGCCAGGATCATTGCAGTGGACATCAACAAAGACAAATTTGCAAGGGCCAAACAGGTGGGTGCCACTGAGTGCATCAACCCTCGGGACTACGAGAAACCCATCGAGGAGGTGCTGAAAGAAGTGAGTGGTGGAGGTGTGGATTTTTCATTTGAAGTCATCGGTCGGCTTGACACCATGGTATGTACTTTGAAATGTCTCAAGACATCAGCTTCTGCATTCTAGAGTGTTCTTTAATGTGGCGGAATATAAACATTATATATAAAGAATATTTTTAAAACTATGGCAATTTTCCATCTCCTATTTGTTACCTGGGTTGCTTAATTTATTATGATGAGGAATCTCATTCCATCAGTCAAAAAAAAAACCCGTCATGAGTATCATGTCCTTTTTAGAGAGGAAAGGGGGTTTATACTGAGCCATCATAAATTTAATTTTTAGTTTTAAAAATTGAAACTCAAGTAAATATAAAGAATATAAATTCTGTTCTCAAGTTGGCAAGTTTAATTTTTCAACACATTCTTAACAAAAAAATGAATTAACAATATTTGTGTGTTTTAATGAATTCTTTTTTTCAAAGACCATACTTTGACCAAAAAACAAAAAAAAAGAGCAACTTTAAGCTCCCTATCATTTTATTAACAGAAAATATGCCCCGTTTTACCACAACAGACAGCACAGTGCCTGGTACCTAAAAAACATCCAAATCTGTGTGCTGAACTGAATAATTTAAAAGGTCAACAGGTTTTCCCACCAGAAATTTTTAAGAAATTTTAAAATTTTAAGTGATATATATCTTTTAGTGTTATTTGTGGATTACATGAGATGACACATGTAACATATTTGGCAAGTGCCACCTGTCAGTGCTAAGCTCTTAATAAATGTTATCTGGTGTTGTCAAAAGGAAGTACCATTTCCAATTGTGCAAAACTTATATCACCTGTAAAATATACATGATATTTCCCTTCTCCAAGGGATCTTCCCAACCCAAGGATCAAACCCAGGTCTCCTGTATTTCAGGCTTTCTTTACTGTGTGACCATCAGGGAAACCCCATACATGATACTACCTTCAAATAATAACAGATATCATCAACTGCAACAGAGAACACATCTCTAGCTACATTCCCCCTAACCAGAATTCTCTAGAATCCTAATGAAAAAACCCCCAGAGACCAACATAAACAATCTCCCTCTTTAGGTTCTCCAGTAAGTCCCAGCAGTGTTGGTAATGGGAAGCAGCAGCTTAGGAGTAAAGCACTTTAGAGCCTTGACCAGGAAAAATTATTCGATAGATGACTGATGTTCCAAGGCTGTTGCTTTCCAAGGCTGTCAATTGCTCCTTGTGCCATTTTTAGTATGGTTTTTCCTCCATTTTCTCTTGTGGAATTGGATTATTTTAAGTATATGATAGCCACATGTCCTGAGGTTCTCTGATCTTCCAAGTATCATACTTCAAAATCAAAGGATCAATTACTATATATTTCTGGGGTGGGGGGGGGGGTGTTTTCCTAAACAACTTTCTTACTACACACATGTCTAAAAATCTGACTGGAGGGAAAACGCTTTCTTTTTAAGTTTCAGAGTAAAAATAAATAAATAAATAAAAGCTCACAGAAGGTCAAAGCACATTTAAAACATGCCCATTTTGACCAACAGCTATATGGCTGTTTTGGCCAACAGCATGCTCCTTGGAAGAAAGGCTATGACCAACCTAGACAGCGTATTAAAAAGTAAAGACATTACTTTGCCAACAGAGGTCCATCTAATCAAAGCTATGGTTTTTCCAGTAGTCCTGTATGGATGTGAGAGTTGGACTATAAAGAAAGGTCAGCACCGAAGAATTGATGCTTTTGAACTGTGATGTTGGAGAAGACTCTTGAGAGTCTCTTGGACTGCAAGGAGATCCAACCAGTCCATCCTAAAGGAGATCAGTCCTGGGTGTTCATTGGAAGGACTGATGCTGAAGCTGAAACTCCAATACTTTGGCCACCTGATGGGAAAAACTGACTCATTTGAGAAGACCTTGATGATGGGAAAGATTGAAGGTGGGAGAAGGGGATGACAGAGAATGAGATGGTTGGATTGCACCTCTGACTCAATAGACATGAGTTTGAGTAGGCTCTGGGAGTTGGTGATGGACAGGAAAGCCTGGCATGCTGCAGTCCATGGGGTCACAAAGAGTCATAAATGACTGAGCAACTGAACTGAACATCATTAATTAGAAGGAAAAGCAAATCAAATTCACAAAGGGATTACTACCTTGTACCTGTTCGAATGAGTATTATAAAAAAAAAAAAAAAAGCAATAACAACTGTTGAAGAAGGTGTGGAAAAAAGGGGATTTTGTGCACTGTTGGTGGGAATGTAAAACAGCCACTATGAAAAGCAGTATAAATGCTTCTCAAAAGATTTAAGATAGATCTTTTATAACATGATCCAGCAATCCCACTTCTGGGAATATATCCAAAGAAAATAAAATCACTATCTTAGACATGTACATCCCCATGTTCATTGCATCATTATTCATAATAGCCAAGATATGGAAACAACCTAAATGTTCATATGGATGAGTAGACAAAGAAATTGTGAGGTATGTGTATATATATATATCAGTTCAGTTCAGTTCAGTCGCTCAGTCATGTCCGACTCTTTGCGACCCCATGAATCGCAGCATGCCAGGCCTCCCTGTCCATCACCAACTCCTGGAGTTTACTCAAACCCATGTCCATCGAGTAGGTGATGCCATCAGACCACTTTATCCTCTGTCGTCCCCTTCTCCTCCTGGCCCTAATCCCTCCCAGCATCAGGGTCTTTTCAATGAGTTAACTCTTCACATGAGGTGACCAGAGTATTGGAGTTTCAGCTTCAGCATCAGTCCTTCCAATGAACACCCAGGACTAATCTCCTTTAGGATGGACTGGTTGGATCTCCTTGCAGTCCAAGGGACTCTCAAGAGTCTTCTCCAACACCACAGTTCAAAAGCATCAATTCTTCAGCGCTCAGCTTTCTTTATAGTCCAACTCTCACATCCATACATGATCACTGGAAAAACCATAGCCTTGACTAGATGGACCTTTGTTGGCAAAGTAATGTCTCTGCTTTTCAATATACTATCTAGGCTGGTCATAACTTTCCTTCCAAGGAGTAAGCGTCTTTTAATTTCTTGGCTGCAATCACCATCTGCAGTGATTTTGGAGCCCCCAAAAATAAAGTCTGACACTGTTTCCCCTGTCTCCCCATCTATTTCCCATGAGGTGATGGGACCAGATGCCATGATCTTAGTTTTCTGAATGTTAAGCTTTAAGCCAACTTTTTCACTCTCCTCTTTCACTTTCATCAAGAGGCTTTTTAGTTCCTCTTCACTTTCTGCCATAAGGATGGTGTCATCTGCATATCTGAGGTTATTGATATTTCTCCTGGCAATCCTGATTCCAGCTTGTGCTTCGTCCAGCCCAGTGTTTCTCATGATGTACTCTGCATAGAAGTTAAATAAGCATGGTGACAATATACAGCCTTGATGTACTCCTTTTCCTATTTGGAACCAGTCTGTTGTTCCATGTCCAGTTCTAACTGTTGCTTCCTGACCTGCATACAGGTTTCTCAAGAGGCAGGTCAGGTGGTCTGGTATTCCCATCTCCTTCAGAATTTTCCACAGTTTATTGTGATCCACACAGTCAAAGGCTTTGGCATAGTCAATAAAGCAGAAATAGATGTTTTTCTGGAACTCTCTTGCTTTTTTTGATGACCCAGAGAATGTTGGCAATTTGATCTCTGGTTCCTCTGCCTTTTCTGAAACCCAGCTTGAACATCTGGAAGTTCAGGGTTCATGTATTGCTGAAGCCTGGCGTGGAGAATTTTGAGCATTACTTTACTAGCGTGTGAGATGAGTGCAATTGTGCGGTAGTTCGAGCATTCTTTGGCATTGCCTTTCTTTGGCATATATATAGTATACATATGTGAATTGCATATATGTATATATATGAATGAATGTTATTCAGCCATAGAAAAGAAGTGTTGACATGTGCAAATACTTGGGAAAAATCTGGAGGACATTATGCAAAGTGAGATAAGCCAGACACAGAAAAACAATTATTGTATGATCTCTCCCATATGTGGAGTCTAAAAAAAATCAAATTCTTAGAACCATTGAGTAGAACCGTGTTTGCCAGGGGCTGGAGGAAGTAGGGAAGGAATAATGGGTAGATGTCAGAGAGTACAAACTCTTGGTTATGAGGAAGTTCTAGAGACATCCATGTACGGTATGGTTACTATAGTGTTATTAACTACAGTTAATAATACTGTTCTATATACCTCCAATTTGCTAAGAGGGAAGATCTTAAATGGTCTCACTGAAAAAAAACACTAGTAATTGTGTGAGGTGATAAATGTGTTCACTCAAAAAAATCATGGCGTACAACCTAAAAATAAATGATTTTTGCCCATCATACTTCAACAAAACGAGGGTTCAGTTCAATTCTGTTCAATCGCTCAGTAGTGTCCAACTCTTTGCAACCCCATGAACTGCAGCACACCAGGCCTGCCTGTCCATCACCAACTCCCGGAGTCCACCCAAACTCATGTCCATTGAGTTGGTGATGCCATCAAACCATCTCATCCTCTGTTGTGCCCTTCTCCTCCTGCCCTCAATCTTTCCCAGGACCAGGGTCTTTTCAAATGAGCCACCTTATCGCATCAGGTGGCCAAAGTATTGGAGTTTGAGCTTCAACATCAGTCCTTCCACTGAACACCCAGGACTAATCTTTAGGATGGACTGGTTGGATCTCTTTGCAGTCCAAGGGACTCTCAAGGGTCTTCTCCGACGCCACAGTTCAAAACCATCAATTCTTCGGCACTCAGCTTTCTTTAATCCAACCCTCACATCCATACATGACTACTGGAAAAACCATAGCCTTGACTAGACGGACCTTTGTTGGCAAAGTAATGTCTCTACTTTTTAATATGCTTTCTAGGTTGGTCAGAGCTTTCCTTCCAAGGAGTAAGTGTCTTTTAATTTCATGGCTACAGTCACCATCTGCAGTGATTTTAGAGCCCAGAAAAATAAAGTCAGCCACTGTTTCCATATCTATTTGGCATGAAGTGATGGGACCAGATGCCATGATCTGAGTTTTCTGAATGTTGAGCTTTAAGCCAACTTTTTCACTCTCTTCTCTCACTTTCATAGAGACTTTAATTCTTCACTCTCTGCCATAAGGGTAGTGTCATCTGCATATCTGAGGTTATTGATATTTCTCTTGGCAATCTTGATTCCAGCCTGTGCTTCTTCTAGCCCAGTGTTTCTCATGATGTACTCTGCATAGAAGTTAAGCAGGGTGACAATATACAGCCTTGACGTACTTCTTTTGCTATCTGGAACCAGTCTGTTGTTCCATGTCCAGTTCTAACTGTTGCTTCCTGACCTGCATACAGGTTTCTCAAGAGGCAGGTCAGGTTTTCTGGTATTCCCATCTTCTTCAGAATTTTCCACAGTTTATTGTGATCCACACAGTCGAAGGCTTTGGAGTAGTCAATAAAGCAGAAATAGATGTTTTTCTGGAACTCTCTTGCTTTTTTGATGATCCAGAGGATGTTGGCAATTTGATCTCTGGTTCCTCTGCCTTTTCTAAAACCAGCTTGAACATCTAGAAGTTCATGGTTCATGTATTGCTGAAGCCTGGCTTGCAGAATTTTGAGCATTACTTTACTAGCGTGTGAGATGAGTGCAATTGTGCAGTAGTTTGAGCATTCTTTGGGATTGCGTTTCTTTGGGATTGGAATGAAAACGGACCTTTTCCAGTCCTGTGGCCACTGCAGAGTTTTTCACATTTGCTGGCATATTGCGTGCAGCACTTTCACGGCATCAACTTTTAGGATTTGAAATAGCTCAACTGGAATCCCACCACCTCCACTAGCTTTGTTTGTAGTGATGCTCCTGAAAGCCCACTTGACTTCACATTCCAGGATGTCTGGCTCTAGGTGAGTGATCACACCATCGTGATTATCTGGGTCATGAAGATTTTTCTTGTGTAGTTCTTCTGTGTATTTTTGCCACCTCTTCTTAATATCTTCTGCTTCTATTAGGCCCATACAATTTCTGTTCTTTATTGAGCCCATCTTTGCATGAAATATTCCTTTGGTATATCTAATTTTCTTGAAGAGATCTCTAGTCTTTCCCATTCTATTGTTTTCCTCTATTTCTTTACATTGATCAGATGCTTATATCTTTCCTTTTCTCCTTTGCTTTTTGCTTCTTTTCTTTTCACAGCTATTGTAAGGCCTCCTCAGACAGCCATTTTGACTTTTTGCATTTCTTTTCCTTGGGGATGGTCTTTAGGGTAAACGTACATAAATTAGGAAAAAAAGTTCCCAATTAGAAATGGGCAGTAGAAATATGGATCCATTAAAAAGGGAGACCATCAAGAGAAGAGAGAAATATTGATGATGTAACTGACCATGTATCTGGTTCACCATTAAAATACCTGGTTCAAAGTACTGAGTGCAAGATATCTACTTAATAATTAAATGAAAAATGAGTTAACCATTTCAGATTGCTCTAGGGTCACATTATGATAAACATTACCTTTATTTGAAGAATCAGATTATATATGTGTAATGATATTTGCATCTTTATTATTTTCTAGAGATGACTTAATTACATAAAACATACAATTTCATTCATCTACTGTTTCATTCAAAAATATTTTCTTGGCATTTCTTAGGCCACATGTAGTGGCTTTAGGAAATAATGGGAAGTGAAGAAAAAGCCAATCTCTTCCAGCCACACACTCACAATTTAACTAGATTAATAGCACAAAATACTGTGTATCACAAATAGGGACTACCATAAAATCCACTTTAATGATGCTACATATTAATTTTATTCCAGATGTCTGCCTTGTTGTGCTGTCAAGAAGCATATGGTGTAAGCGTCATTGTAGGACTACCTCCTCATGCCCAAAATATCTCTATGAACCCCGCGTTGTTGTTGACTGGACGTACCTGGAAAGGAGCTATTTTTGGTGGTACGTGGTTAGGCTTGAGGGCCAAATTCTTACTAACGGCAGGAATTCTTCCCTTTTGCAAGTGACAAGGCCAGGCTTTAAAATGCAACGTAGTTTAAAAATACACTAAGATTCCTTTGTATCTATAGGCTCCAGATCAACTAGATGTGGAACTAATGTACCCCAAACATCCCAAGATAGACTTTAACGGTGTCCCCATAAACTGACTAGGATCTTTCAGCATCATATCTTTTGATACTGGTGACTGCATAATCACTGAGATACCTAGGGGGATCCAGGAAATACATAGCAACAATTTATGTCTGCACTCACTGCCCAGATGTAGACAACTGCTGAATTTTCTTCTTGACTCTGAGAATAACCATCTGTACTATAATTTCTCTATGAGAGAACTAATAACCAAAGGTTCTGGTTTGTTGGGTGGGGAGATTTTTTAAAAAGTCTAATCACTTCAAAAGGAAATTGAAACACATTCTCTTATTAACCTCAGCAACAGTAGTCTGTGGGCATTTTATCAACTTTCATTTAAGTTTTATGTAGAAAGTCTTGTCTCTCATCCTCTGCTTATATCTGGATGAATCTAACACTGATGTCACTTTCTTTTCAGGCTTCAAAAGTAAAGAATCTGTCCCCAAACTTGTGACTGATTTCATGGCTAAGAAGTTTTCACTGGATCAATTAATTACCCATGTTTTACCATTTGAAAAAATAAATGAAGGATTTGACCTGCTTCACTCTGGAAAGAGGTAGATTTTAAGTTTTGGTGGGGTTTGACTAACAGAGAAAAAAAGGTAGAAGGATGACAGAAAGGCAAGGATGGAGTGTCTTGGTTTTCTATTCCCAGTTCAGTCTCTGCATGTAGAACACATAAGATCATATTGCAAGAAACTAAAATGCTTTGCATCTCCTGTTCTGCTGAAGCCAAATTATGTTGGTCACAGCAAATCTGAATGATCAGACCCTCTGCCATCTTCACAAGAGATTTCTCTGCTTTGCAAGGAAAAAGAATCAGAGACACATAGTCATATAAAGTGGAGTTATCCCAGTCCCTGCCTGGCCACTTAAAATGGATGACTATTAATAGCTACAAATTTAAATTACATTCCAGACATCCAAAAAACTCATTATGGAAGTCAGTGGAGCTATATAGGCATCATTTTCTATACATATTACTTTTTTCGAAAAATGCTGACTTTTACTCTTTTTTTCCATTTAAAAAGGATTTTTCACAAATAAAAATTATTGCAAAGAAGAAGGGTACAAAATGCTATTTTAAATGTTTAAATCTACATTTTCTTCAAAACTCACAAAAACAAGTCAGTTCCATTTTATACCTCTAATATTAATCATTTACAAACACCTAAAAAGAAGAATTTCATCACTGGCATTTGTAAATGAGACACAGCTAGTAATAGGCACTTTTACCTAACTCCCACCTTCTTGTTCCATAGTCTCTGCTTTCTCTGCGACTTCACACTTCTTCTCATGAGGTTTTTTGGTTTTAAACACTATTTATTAAGCAGCCATACACATAACATATACTAGACACTTGGCCTGATAAATATTATTGTAGACGGAAAGAAACTAGCATCCAAACAGTACCAGATCACAGCCTTTCTAGAAAGCAGTTTGGTCATATGTATAAGAAACCTCAAAAAAAGAAACTTAGATCCTATGTCCAAAGAATTACATTTCTGAGAATCTATTCTACAGAAATTATGAGATATGCAAATGTACATATGTTTAAGCATGTTTATTATCTATAATAGCAAAAATTGGAAACATCCTAAAAGTTCAACATTAAAGGAACAATTAAATAAATTCCAAACATTACTAGAAATAAATTAAGCCATTTAGAAGGAAATGATTTCATTAAATTGGGAAATTCTCCTGATGTAATTTTAGGTTATAGAGTAGAGAACACAGAACTTATACCTACAATACAGTTCCAAGTTTTCAATCAGAGCAATAAAAACTTACATATGTTTAGAAAAAAGATAATCAAAATTCAAGAAAATATTGACATTGATTATTTCTAAGTTGTGGGATTACAGGTTATTTTTACTTTCTTCTTTATATTGTCCTTTAGTTTCTAAATTATCTGTATACATTTTTCATATATGTGTGTGTATATACATATACACATATATACATATATATTAATAATTTTTTAAGATACAAAGATCACCTTTTTATAAAGTATTTATCCATCAGAAGATGGTTTTTAGAAAGGACATTAGTTCCAGTAAAATGTTACATTTCTGATCTTCCCAAGAATAAAGTCTCTCCAAACACAAATCAACATTTTTCCTACTTTTAAATCTTCTTAAGCATTTCTTTATCTAAGCTCTGTTAAAATTTCAATATGGCCTTAACTTTATTACATTATCAGCACTTTTAGGCACATTATCTATCATCTTGTAATTTGTGCAACTTTGTATTTGGATTTAAATCCCAGGAGCCCACACTAGATGTATGTTTTAAAGTAAGGTACAAATTTCTCTACATCTCTGTATCTATCATCTCTAAAATGGAAATAATATTAGAACCTGCCACATAGTGTTGTTTAAGTAGAGGTTTAAATGATAAAATACATGATGAGCATCTACAGAGTGACAGAAAGCATGAACTTATTACATGTAATTATCAGTTGTTGTTTATGTTTGTTATTATATAGGGAATGTAGACTCTCAAAGGAGATATTTTGAAAATCTAATACATAATGAAGCCTAAATGACAGTCATACTCAGAACTTTATAATTGAGGTTCAGGTTGGAGAAAGACAACAGCAAAAAGATGAGCTGACCTTTTACTTGACTTGAGTGCATTAGGGATGGGAATGGAATAGCAGGAAACAAAGACAGCTTTTCAAAGAGACAAATTGAATGCTCTTTGTACTCTCACATGGAAGAGTGTATATTATCTAAACACTAAAACACTTTCTATCTCTTATTTTCTGTTGCAGTGTCCGCACCATCCTGACATTTTGAGACCATACACACACCTTCACTTGTAGCAGTCTTCTGCCTCCTCTATCATCTGAAACATCAGCCAAACATCAATAATTCTGTTCTTCAGAGGCACTACCAATAAATTGCACATGGGAGGTTTCCAAAAGAAATAAAAATTAATGTGAAATCATTTTTCAAGCAAATTTTTAAAATGTAAGTGAGAGCTAGATAAACCATCACATGTGTAATTGAGTCTAATAAAGTCTCCTTCTTAATAATTCTACTCGTGTTGAATCACGTCATCTTTCAGACTGAGAAATGGTATTTCTTTTGACTTCTTGTATTTTTTGTGTCTTTGCCACCCTTAGTCTTTTAGCCTTGGTCTTTTAGCCTTAGTCACTGAGAAGGACCTCATTATACTCATTATACTTGCCCTCAACATACATGTGATGGGGTATTGTACTCAAAATCTTCTACCTGTACTTCCACTGTCTGTAGCAAAACCCTACAGTAAAAACTATAGTTTCCAAAAGAATACACTCTGATTTATAAGTGGAGAAGGTCCAGAAATTCTAAATGCAGGAATTTTCTTAGGTAAATATCACATATGTTTAAGGTGAAGGGAAGTGTTTTTATACTACAGTTTCATATTACATGTGATAAATGTGAGGTTTGAATACTAAATCTGAAAACTGAACTATTCTTAGACTCATATTCAAAAAAGTCTATTTTTTACTCAAGAAAGTAGTTTATTGGTTGCTGCTAAGTTGCTGCTAAGTCACTTCAGTCGTGGCCGACTCTGTGCGACCCCATAGACGGCAGCCCACCAGGCTCCCCCGTCCCTGGGATTTTCCAAGCAAGAACACTGGAGTGGGTTGCATGTCCTTCTCCAAAGCATTAAAGTGAAAAGTGAAAGTGAAGTCACTCAGTCATGTCCGACTCTTCGCGACCCCATGGACTGCAGCCCACCAGGCTCCTCCGTCCATGGGATTTTCCAGGCAAGAGTACTGGAGTGGGGTGCCATTGCCTTCTCCAAGTTTATTGGTTAAAAGATCTTAATTATTATCATTGTAACTGTAGTTAACTGAAAATGAGCCATAAGGTAGTCAAAAAGTAATAAGGCAGCTTGAAGTCTAGGGATGGGAATACAGCAACTGCAGACACAGCATGTAAAATGGGTAACTAAGAAATAGCACAAACACCCAAAGCAATAGATTTTCTATGTACATACACATATAGATGTACGTTTTTGCAAAAGTATTTTGAAACGAGAACTTTTTATTAACTATCATGACTCAAGTCTGCAACCCCGAAATATTTAATTGTTTTGAACATGTGAAAGCCTATGGTACCGAATTGTTAATACTTCCTCTAGGGAAGATTTACATTTTGAGCTTCATCTCTAAATGTGTAATGAGAGCTTATTCATGTAAAGAATTTTAGCTATCTTGAAAAAATGTGACTTGCTTCGATACTGTAGAAAGGACTAGACTTAGAGCAAGTAATCTACCCCTTGTTCGTGACCTTCAGTAAATTACTCAACCTCCCTAAGCCCATTTTGTCATTTGTTTTAAGAAATTATGAACCAATTACAGCTTCTTGAAAATTAGATGGAATGATGCTAGTGAAAAGGCTTTGTCAACTATGAACTGCCGTGTAAATGTAGGAACAGTTTAATTGTCTTCTCAAAGACACTGAAGGAGATATTTAGGGTTAGGGGAGCTTTCAGAATATCCCTAATTTTTCAGAATGTCCTAACATCATGGAACACTATGTTCACATTTTGATAGATGCTCCAGTGCTTTTATATTGCTGTTGATAATGTGAGATACTGAGATGGTTCTACATACCCATGTCACATAGTGGGGATAAAATCTTACTGGCTGCACAGAGGTCTGCATCCAGTTCCTTCCTCCCGGGCTGTGGAGAGCAGATGGAGAGTGGGGTTTGATGAGCCTATCAGTGTTCTCACAGAGGGGCACAATGCTCCATGAGGTGTATGAAAGGGAGGTTCGAGGTGCCTTCTGCACCCAAAACTTCCTCTTTATTCACATGGACATTGGCAGGGAAGGAGACGTTGAAATCAAAGTAGAAAAATGAAACCACAGAGTGGCTGGTATGCTCTAATGGTGCACATGGTCAGCGTGTCCTGCTGGCCTTCAGTGATAATTTTGACTCTAGAATCAAGAATTTCCACATTTGCTGGTTTCCTTTAAAAAGTGTTAACTACGAATATATATAGCTTGCACTCACTTTCAGCCAACCACAAAAAGCTTAGTCAAAATGAAGAAAATTTTCAAAATTTGTAGAGAAGTAATTTCATGTTGATGGCTTAATAGCATTGATACAGTGACTTAGTGCCTCCAAAAATGGTGAATAAAAATAAGTAATATAATTACATTATACAATATAATAATATAATTAAATTAATCCTTTGCTACTTTACAAATCACACAAGCTACTCTAGAATTAGAAAGTCATTTTGACAGAAGCATTCAAAAATTACTCAGAAGTTAAAGTAGAGTAAGAGCAAGTATGTATTTAATAATTATATTCTTAGACACCTGACTACTTAATTCCATTAGCAAATGATTATTGAACAAATAACCTCTACTAAGTAGTCCCCAAAAAATGTTAAATTGACAATTTTATTGAAGTAAATAAAATTATATTTATCTGTTAAATACCCAGCAATGTTCAGGAAATGTGACACTGCATAGGAAGAGAAACCAAACTCAGTGTGGCAAGAATAAAACTAGAATGAGAGCTCTATACTCACTCAAGGCCAAACACCATTTTGATGAAATTAATGGTCATACATGTCTCCTTGTTCTGCTTATTTCATCCACTTTTGATCCAAGGTCCAGAAGATCATCTGTATAATCTTATCTCAGTCATCAAAAGAACCCAGAGGTTGCTGAATAACTCATAAGGTAATAAATAACCAACAACAAAGAAATTAGACAGGTTTCCTTGTCCAGTCTTTCTCTTTGAAGTATTTTCCATGTCAGCAAATAACTTAGTAGATTTATTATGAACAAGTCAGAAATATTCAGACAATTCTTACCTAAAAATGATATTTAAAGACTACCATTCTGGGGAGGGAGGTGGGAGGAGGGATTGGGATGGGAAATACATGTAAATCCATGGCTGATTCATGTCAATGTATGGCAAAAACCACTACAATATTGTAGAGTAATTGGCCTCCAACGAATAAAAATAAATGGGAAAAAAAAGAAAGAAATGTATTTAACAAATAAATAAATAAATAAAGACTTCCGTTCACCAATAAACCAACAATTTACAGTGTTTGGGAGATGCCTAATTGCCTTAAAAGGTTATAACTACAACTTTGAAGTGAAGAGAAATTTAGTATATTCTAAATTTAAATAATGAGTGTTTCCCAGCTAATTCCAAATTTCAGAATGGGTGAGAGAGTGGGAAATAACTTGAGAACTAAATATTTCTTTTGTTATTGATTTTTTACCTGTGATGAGTACCTTTATGGTTTATTCTCCAGCAACTTTCAAAAATCCATTACAATATTATCAGCTATATTCTCTATGTTGTATATTACATCCTTAGGATATTTTTAAACTGAAAGCTTGTACTTTTTACCCTTACACTTATTTCAGCCACCCCCAAACTGCACCCATGGTAAACATTCTGTTCTTTATATCTTTGTGTTTAGTTTTTCAAATTTCCTTATACAAGTGAGACTATTTCAATCAGTTCAGTTGCTCAGTCGTGTCCAACTCTCTATGACCTCATGGACTGCAGCACACCCAGGCTTCCCTGTCCTTCACTGTCTCCTGGAGCTTGCTCAAACTCATGTCCATCAAGTTGGAGATACCATCCAATCATCTCATCCTGAGTCAATTCCTAGTCATGTTGATAAGAAGTCTAAGGGTCCCCATGAAGAGATGGGTCTGGAATTCTCAAGGAGGAAGAAAAGACAAACTGTTTTTTTCCCCTCTACATTCCTCAGGATTATATAACAACAATGTATCCTGCTTGAGGACAGTCTCTTAAAAAAAACCTTCTGGCTAATTCTGTTATCTCAAATTGTAAATTATGGGAGTAGGTCTCCTGAGGTCTTTACAACATCCAGACATTATTTTGATTCACTGTAATAACTAATTTGAGAGTATATAATTCCATTGCTAACACTAGCAAGTGGGTACTCTTCCTACCCTCTTCCGATGTCTACATCAGAAGCTTTCTCTATCTCCTTTATACTTCAATAAAACTTTATTACACAAAAGCTCTAAGCAATCCAGCCTCATCTCTGGCCCCAGATTTGAATTCTTCTCCTCCAGAGGCCAAGAACCCTGGCATCTTTGCATGATTCAGCAACAACCTTTCATCTTGGGGTCTCGTCCGGGATTCTTCAGGACAAGGTAAGGATGCTTGGAGCTCTAGTTCTTTGTTCTGTTAGCAAACATGTTTCCTGCTGTACTTCACTAACTCTACGGTGTGCTTGTGTTAATGAATGACATGCCCTGAGCGAAGCAAGTGAGGATCCCTGCTCTGCGGTTTTGTGGTAACCTCATATGGCTTATGGCAGAAACCTGTCGGAGGTTTATACCGACCTGCCAATGCCAAGAGGCACCAAATGTCTCCTTTGGACCGAGCAGAAATGGGCAAAGCATGTGGACCAAACTCTCCTTTCTCAGTCAAGCTTTTTGGTCTCTTTGACCATTTCATAGCTCCTCGAAAATTAGAAGTACTGACCTAATCTGTTCACAGAAGCGCTCCAGCTGCGACGGACCGCAGAGAAGCCTGGCCATGAGGAGCTACCCAAGGTCAGGGGTAGTGACCGAGAGCGCCAGGCTGCGACAGCGCAGGAGTGGCGGCCGAGAGGAGCTTCCCCACACCGGTGGTCAGGGGCCCCGCCCGAGAAGAGCTACCCCACCTCCAAGGAGTGGCGGCCGAGAGGAGCTACTGCACGTTCAAGGTCAGGAGGGGCTGCCGTGAGAAGATACCCCTCGTCCAAGGTAAGGAGCAGCAGCTTCGCTTTGCTGGAGCAGCCGTGAAGA